ACCTCGGACATCCTAGAGGCTCCGATCCCTCCAAAATTCAAGACTCCCACCATGAAGCCTTATGACGGGTCTAAGGACCCAAAAGACTATGTTGAGGTCTTCGAAGACCTCATGGACTTTCAAGCGGCAACAGATGCAATCAAGTGTCGCGCCTTCCAGATCGCGCTCACCGGCAGCGCGCGCTTGTGGTATCGAAGACTACCGGCCAGGTTGATCTCGACCTACTCCCAGCTGAGGAAAGAATTTATTAGCCAATTCTCTTCTCGGGATTACGATAGAAAGACAGCAACTCACCTCGCCACCATCAGACAGAAGGAAGGTGAGACGCTGAAAGAGTATGTCACAAGGTTCCAGGAGGAGCAGCTGAAGGTCGCACACTGCTCCGATGACTCGGCCATGTGCTACTTCCTCACAGGCCTGGCCGATGAAACCTTAACTGTGAAGCTCGGAGAAGAAGCCCCAGCTACTTTTGCCGAGGTCCTACAAAAGGCGAAGAAGGTTATCGACGGGCAAGAGCTCCTCCGAACCAAAACTGGCCGACCAGAAAAGAAGATCGACCAGGGGAGAGCCGGCAAGGACAAAGGAAAAGCTGATTCCAAGTCCAAGGATAAGGGATCATCCTCCTCTAGCAGCCAAGCTGATTATCGAAGGTCGGATAGCAGTCGCAACCGAAGCCGACCTTATGAACGTTACACTCCGACCACCATCCCAAGCTCTGAAATACTTACAAACATTGAGGAGACTGGGATGGAAAAGCTCCTCAAGCGACCTAAGAAGCTCCGAGGAGACCCAGAGAAGCGCAACAAAGATAAGTATTGTCGTTTCCATCGTGATCACGGCCATAATACGTCAAACTGCTGGGAACTGAAGCGCCAGATTGAAGACCTCATTCAATATGGCTACTTCAAAAAGTTCGTTGGCAAATCGAGGTCCAGCTCGGTGGAAAAGAAAGAAGAGAGGAAGCGTTCGAGGACGCCACCTTGCTGAGATGACCGACCTGCGGTCATCAATACCATTTTCGGAGACCCAAGTGGGGGCCAATCTGGGAATAAAAGAAAGGAGCTGGCTCGCGAAGCCAGACGCGATGTGTGCATCATCAGGGAGCAAAGACCGACCTCCTCCATTGCCTTCAACGATGCCGACCGGAGGGGGTCCATTTGCCCCATAATGACGTGCTTGTGATCGCTCCTCTCATCGATCACGTTCTGGTCCGAAGAGTACTGGTAGATGGACGCGCATCTGCCAACATTTTGTCCCTTTCAACATATCTTGCCTTGGGATGGACCAGGTCGCAACTGAAAAAGAGTCTGACACCCCTGGTTGGATTCTCTGGA